CCCCCCAAACATCTTTCGACGACCAAATACCCACTCACAACACAGGCATTTTCATTGTTCACATTCACAAAATGAACAATGGAAGTTGATTTTCTGAATATCAAAAAATAACTTTTATTCTTCTCTTGTTCTTTTTTCTTTTGGGAAATAATAATAATAATGTACAGAGCATACCAGTTACAGGATCAAAATAATAAGAAAAGCACCATTGAAAGCTCTCAGCTCTGAAATATGTACATATTATATTATGGTTAATGGTTTGTATTTTGAAGAATTTACATAAGAGATGTTGTGTGGGCAAACATAACATGAATGAAATACATGTACACGTATTGCTTGGGCTTACTGGTCCAGGTGAAGATTATGCTTTGCTATCTTAGAATTACAAAGTTCTGTCTAACATTTTTGGATGTTTTGTGTTGCTTGCACACTGAGGTAAAAAAATACCAATTGTTCTATCTGCTCTATCAAAATCGTAAGATCTTTCGGAGTCGTAATCAAGGTATTCAAAGACTTGCATTCGAAAAGAGAAGAACATATTGTGAAACTCAAAAGTTTTCTAGTTAAATTCCTCAAAACTAGGTACTGATCACAAGATAGAATTTTGTAATTCTAGGGTGCCGACTTGTCTCCTTGTCCTAAGCATTGACTTCGGTTCTATGTTAAGGCAGACTTAGGCTGTGCGCATTTGAGTAATTCAAGACATTCATATCTATGTAGGAGCTTCACATCCCCCTCCTCGAAAAAAATCCCCATCCAACCCCCTCCTCCCCCCACCCCCCAAACAAACAACAACAATAAAAAGACCCCCAAAAATTGACTCAATTGAAATAGATCATTTAACAACTAGGAGGCGTTTAACCACTACACAACAGACTCCGGTCCAAAAGTTCACTAACTTTGCTGTTCTTAGCTCCCTTGAAAAGATAAAAGCATCGAATTCATGCTTAGATATTAATTAGCCCAACAGCTGACCCTTTGTACCCTCTACCCCTCCCCCTCCTTAGCTTCTATTTTGCTTACTTTAACTAAAACTTTCCCGATCTCACAAGGAGGGAAAACTGTTAACAGATCCTAGCGGAAGGCGGGAAGGGGAGAAGGGGAGAAGGGGAGAAGGGGGAGGGTGGAGGGGAGAAAAAACAACAAATATGCAGGTGAGTAGGCTGACAAAAAGATACGTCGACCTTTTAATACTGATTGTGACTTCCAGAAAGTGAAATAAAAACATCCCAGAAATGGGCGGTCCTAGAGCTGTAGGACAGGTAAACGGAAGGGGAAAAACTGAAAAAAGGATGATATACAGGGTGTCTAAAAAAAAAGGACCCACTTAAAAGACCATAACTCGGTCATAAGCCCACCAAAACTTCGAACAAATAAAATTCAGCTATGAGGACATTAAATTTGTGAATATGAAGAATATCCATCTACGACCCCGAGAAATATCAAGTTTTGAAAATTCCAACCAAAATTGGAAAAAAAGCAAAATTTCAGTTTTCCCTCCTTATAAGCGTTCAGGTACAGGTGCGTGGTCGACACGTTCTGCTCTCGGGACAAAGACGGTAAACCAACGACAGTCATATAAGATGGGTATCTCACCGGCACCGTGCTGAGAAAGTCGTGGAGAAATTTGTGACGAGAAGGTGTAATATTGTAAAGGCCTGGTTCCAGTGGGATGTGGCCATACCCCAAATGTCTAGAGAGGCCCTTGTGTGGTTGTAAGAAAAAGGTTTGAGGGAAAACCTTGAAGCCAGAAGTTTACAAATGAATAGTCACTACATTCCCCCAAACCTGAGCCCTTTCAGTTATTATTTTTGTGGTTTGACTGACAAGAGTCTACGGAAACAAGCCACACACGATTGAACAGTTGAAACTCAATGTTGAACAGGGCGTCCAAAGAATCGACTCCAAAAAAACATGCCACAGGGTCATTCAAAATTTCCGTTTGGCTTAAATTAAAGCTTGTAAGGAGCGAAATGGTCAACACCTGGAGATTTAAATAGGCATTGCCTCCGAGACTATATTTAGCTACTGTTTGTATAAGTTTCTTCAATGCGCAGATAGTGACTATTTGAAATGGAACAGTGTGGTTCATTTTTTTTCAAAGGTTGCATAAATTTTGCGTTGTACTCAATTTTGCTCGAAATTTGTAAAACTTGATATTTTTCGAACATGGTTTTTGGTTTTGTTTTCTTATTGACAAAAGTAATATCCTCCTGGTTGAAATTTATTTCCTCAAAGTTTCTTTAAAATTGGACCAAAGATGACCTAGTTATTGCCCTTTAAATGAGTTTTCTTTTCTTTTTTGTTTTAGACAACCGTTACAAGTAGATGAACTTTTGTTTCAATTGTCCACAAGAACTGGCAAAACTTTCCCCACACAAATGAACGACCATGAAAATAAGCACATAGAAACATGTTTACTCTCTTTCTCTCTCTCTCTCTCTCTCTCTCTCTCTCTCTCTCTCTCTCTCTCTCTCTCTCTCTCTCTCTCACACACACACACACACACACACACACACACACACACACACACACACTCACAAACTCCACTCATCCACATATGGCCACTCTCGTTCAGCGTTAAGAAATGTCTCCGATATTAATATCTTTTTAAAAGTGCATGTGAGTAATATGGCTTTACGTTAGGACGGACCTTCAGACACATAATATATACATTGTAGCTTTTTCCCTGAAGGCAAAACACTGGCCCAGTAGAGAGAGTAAAAGGTTGGAGAAATGAAGGGGTGAGTTAAGAAAAAAAAATAAATAAAAGACGCTAAAAAAAAGGGAGTCGGTCTTTAAAATTTAGAGAGATGAAGGAGAACAATATATGTTAAAAGTTGAGAAATCTAATTTTATTTTAAAAAAAAAAGGGGGGGGGGGTAGCAAACATACGTGTACAAATGAATGTGGAATAAAAAAAAGGTTAGTAAAATGAATGGGGTAACTAATAAATGAGAAATGAAAACGAAGAAAACGTTAGAGAAATGAAGAGGTGAGTTTTTAAAACTACATGTAGTTTTAATGCAGTTAGTCTATCATCCCCCTCGACATAATGAGGGAAGCGTAAAAGTTTAGAGAAATGAAGAATAGAGTCAAAATGGTACAGAGGAATCGAGGCAGTTTTTTGGGGGGAGAGGGGGGGGGGGGGGGGGGGGAGAAATATGCGTCACCCCAAAGTCTAAAACGGAGAGGGGACTAACCGTCAAACCCGGCACTGTGGGGGAATTAAGGAAGAAGAATGCTAGGAAAACATGAAGTGTGGAATAAAAAGTTTGAGGATTGAAGAGAAGGGCAAACAGGTTAGAGAAACGAAAGAAAAAAACAAAACAAATACGAAACACGTATTGTCGATATACAACGATGTGTTGCGAGATCTCTGGGCGTTTTGTTTAAAGAAAAGACAGCAAGCGTTGGCAGAAAGTCGACAATCATGCCTTTTGGTGAAATCACCCTCACTGCTAAAGCGTGACATCATGGGAACTCTCGACATAAGAATATCGCCAGAGTCATTTCACAAACGCCTACGTCATTTTCTGAAGTTTTGAGAAAATTAAAGATAATAAGTCAGCCCCAATCAGTACCATGACTTGAGCATCTTCTGGGATTTTTAAAACTAAGGAGGAAATACGAAACGATACGAAACGAAACGAAACTATGTTGTAAATATAAATGCCCCACGGTATAGTATTTCTATTCGAATAAGGCATTGGATTACATCTGGAAACCTCCAGAAATGTGAGCAATGGTAAAATGATGCTGACGACATCTGAATAATAAAAAAATGCATTCTCGAATATGTAGATCCGACAAAATTGTCAAAACTATGCAAGCATTTGCAAGGACACTTTTTAAAATATAAACAGTAAAAGAGTGCCATTTTGTAGAGTACAATATTTTTGATTTCTTTAAGTAAACGCATGATGACAGAAACAAGAACAGAAATAGAAGGTCGAGCAGACCGTTCCAGAACACCTCGACTGTCCACGCTATTAACAGTAATACACGGACTTATTACAGTCATCATTGTTCATGCCACTTGTGGTGGCAGAAGACGTGTGTTCCATTCCCGTGTGGGGAGATTTTATTTTTATCCTACTCTCCATCTACCGGGATGAGCTGGGCTGAAGCAGCCCGCCGACTTTCTGAACTATATTGTCTTAATAGGGACATAAAACATCTGCAGTTTTAAATATAACTGCAACCATCACAGGATCTTTAACCACTCATAGCAACGAATATGTTCTATTCATTTAAATGAACTTTCAGACAACGTGACTTACACACTTTTCTCGTTGAAATGAGATCTATGGGACGGAACTTGCAGTTTTATGAAAGAGTCCATTCAATGCAAGTATATTCAAAATGCAATCCGTTTATAAATAATATCCTCTTGTAACACACCGGAACATCAGTCTGCTTTCAACAAAGGCGTTGTTTCATTGGCGCTGACTTGGGCAGTCCCCACTTTCTCCTCCTCTTCCCCTCCTGGTCTCACTTCGTACTCAGTGGACGATGTGTCAGATCTGCGCACCATACGGAATGCCCTGCAGAGACAAACAATTAACTTATTTGTATGTTGATCGTCCACAAAAACTGTCAAATCTCCCCCCCCAAAACCCCCCCCCCCCCCCCACAATAAAACCTCACCCCCGAAACAACACACACTCACACGAAATAACAACAATATACACAAGAACAATATGAACAACAAAAACAACAACAGCAACAACAAAAAAGCAACAACAGCAACAAAACAACAACAACAAAACAACAACAACAACAACAACAACAACAACAACAACAACAACAACAACAACAACAACAACGGCAGCGACAACGGAAAACAACAACGCATTCTGTTGGAAAAATTAAGTTAAGAAAAGTTGAGTTGGATTTGTATTTACAGCATCGTTGACACAGTTTTGGCACGTAAGCGCCGTGGAACTGCGGTAGCTATTAATAACTCAATATAAAATAATACAGAGGTGCTTGCCAAGCACCAAGGACTTACAAAAGTATGCAGCCGTCTAAGAAGCAGAGAGCGGCCATTAGCATGAACACAGATCCCCTAAATGAGTCGACGGTGGCGTTGTAGATGAGCGTGTAGAGTGTGGAAGACACCAGGCTGGCTATGGCGTCCAGTGTGGACAGGCTGGAGAACAGCGCCCCTGGTGATAGCAAGAGCATAGTAATAGTATAGTAGTTACAATCTGAGGCATCGTGGTACAATTAGGCTCTCATAAATATACTGAAATCGAAGAAATCGACATTTTCCCGCCCGTAGGCTATTTCTATCAATTAAAAAAAAAATCTTTTGAGCTCAACATTCTTTAGTTCCATAATACATACCTTTACTTTTTCATCCTCTGTTGCCGTAAAGCATCGAGGGGAGATGCAGTTTTCTATGGTAGGCCAACTCTGCATTTGCGTGGTCTACCTCTGCCTTTTAAGCCTGAGTGCTTTGTGTTATAGGCTCTAGAGGCTGGTTATCTAGGTGACATTCGTGACAGGTGGCCAAACCCTTAAATATTCTCTGTTTTTCTATGAAATGCAGGCAGGACTCAGAGCCAACAGTCGCTCTTACTTCTTCTTTTCTCTTCCTGTCTTTTCTTGCGATGTTAAGGGTTTTCCGGAGACATTTCATCTCGCACTCAGAGATATTTTAATTATAATTTCTTTTTGGGAGCATAACGTCGGTATATATGAAATATTGATGTAATAAGTAGTCTTTTTGTGTCCAAGGAGATGTTTGGATGAGATAGCAGGGGTGCGAGCTGGTAGGTGATGGTGATGGCTTTTTTAGTTAACATTTCTGTTTCTCTGTCTATGGACCTGTGGGGCTCTCGTGGTCTGGAGGTTAAGGTTCATTCAATAAGTCTCAGGTTAGAATCCCGATAGCGACGGAAAACTTTTTTCTTTACAATTTTCTCCTTTCGTACCATTTCCTTCTCTCTAACAATGTTTTGTCGTATGCTTTCGTCTCCACTTTCTGCCCCCACCCCTCATCCCCTTGTCCCCTCCTCTGGACTCCTGACACGTTCTGCAGCCTTTCTGCAGCTACACGGGAACTCCCGAGATTGTCCGCTCTTATCCAAGAAGGCTAGATGTAGAACTTACCTTTAATGAGATCTGGGGTGTGGTTGAAAGATAGCAGTAAGAAGGAGCCAAGGAGTACGGACAAAGGCGAAAAATCTCAGCGTTCCCGTGTGCAAGTTTCACACGTTAAAGATCCCTTGGTGGTCCAAAATCGATAAGAGTAGGCTTCGGCCGTCACCCGTACAAAATTCAAAATTTCCTACCAACTGAAAAATTGATGTGTCCCGCGCACTCATATGATCTCATGCAGTTGCAAGGGCCTTAAAGCATCCCCCCCCCCAAAAAAAAAAAAAAATAAAAAAAAATAAAAAAAAAATAAATAAAAAATAAAAAATAAAAAAAAATAAATAAATAATAATAAATTTTAAAAATGAATCTAAATAAATAAAAAAAACAACCCCCTCCCCCCAAAACAAATATCGACCTGTTTTCAGACAAAAGTGCTGAAATATCTAAACTCCTTCACCTGTTTCAGTTGTTTACGATTGACATAGATGTTCAAGGGACCTTGGACTTGGCTCACTTTCATAGCTTCCGTTTTTGATGTGCTTATTTTCATTTCAACTTTCTCGCAGCTGTTGTTCAGTTTGGTAGTGTGATTTCGGGGGCTTTGTTGGTCTGAGTGAATAAAACATTGGTCGTCTTCTAACAGAAGTTCATTTAGGCTTTCTGGGCTTTGGTTTGCGACTTGCGTTATTGTATCTGTATAATAATAATAATAATATTATAAAAATAAGGGGAGATAAAACGCATTTCCTTGTGGCACTCTGGAGCTTACTTTAAACAGTCTGTATTGCCTCCCTTCGTTCTTTCTGAGCTTCTGCAGTTGGTATAATATTGGACTTGGACATTGTCTAACACACACAACAGCTTTGAAAGTCACCAAAACTTTGGCGACCCTTTTATTGTTAATTTTGCCTCCGACTCCAGAATGCCCCGCCACCCTTACATTCGTTTATGGGGAATTAAAAAAACAACCACACAACATAAACAGATAAGAAACAAAGTTCTTCATGCGGGAAAAGTAGAGTCGGATGAAGTTTACTTCTTGGTTTTAGTGCATTTCATGTATAACATGTTCACTTTCATTTGTCCGTGGTTAAAACGAGGGGCCTAGAGGTCAAACGTGTTCGCCTCTCATTCAAAGGTCCCGAGTTCGAATCCGGTAGCGACCGAAAAATTTTCTTCTCTAAAAATTGTCTTCTTTCACCTTCTTTCCTTCTCTCTTGCAATATTCTGTCGTCTGCTTTCGCCTCCACTTTCTTGCCCCACCCCCTCACTCTCTTTTCCCCCTCCACTGGGCTCCTGACTCTTTTTTCTGCAGCCTTTCTACAGCTACTCCTTGACTCCTTACTGCTGTCTTTCAGCCACACCCCAGATCTTCTTGTAGGAAAGATCTACACCTAGCCTTCTCAGACAAGGGCTAAAAATCTCGGAGGTCCCGTGTGCAGGTTGCGCACGTTAAAGGTCCCTAGGTGGTCCAAAATCGATAAGAGTAGGCTTTGGCCGCCACCCGGGGAAAATTCAAAATTCCCTATCAATTGAAAATGTTTGGTGTGTCCCACGCGCTCATATGACCTTTTGCAATTGCGGGCGCCGTAAAACCCTTACCAAAAAAAAAAGAGGTTAAAACGAGATGGAAACAAACCGCTCTGTTTCTCCTTCTCATGTCTTTGCACGCGGGTCTTAAAGTTGGATGAACAACGTAATCTAAAAGCCCATTAATGAAAGTCACTGCAAAACTAAAGTTCCGACACGTTTTCTTTGAGGTAAGCCTAACGCGGGCAAAAATATGGTATGTGATTTACAGCACACAAAACATTTAATTTAAAAGTTTACCTATTTTCATCAGCTATGTACTTAAACTTTAACAACGCCTGTGAAACACAGTCGAACAGACGGGTGAGTACTTTACGAGACTCACGTAGGTGTCAATGCGGACTCCGGATGAAATCTATAAGCTTTCACTGAAATGTGGGTATAGGGAGTTGTCAGTGTCTCAAAGGGAACAATACAGCCGAAGTCATTATAAATAATCTATTGTAGTGATCCTGTGTATGCTCCCAACGGTTGGTATTTCATACCGCACTTAATTAAAGAAATTATTGTATTACTGCATCGAGATTTTAAAAAACATTGTTTGGTCGCTGGCCTGCAGACGTGCCGTTAGCAGTATGAGCAAATTGACAAGTGAATAAAATATGGTCGCTTTTAAACACAAGGGGGCTATCCCGAAAAATGCTGTTTTCAGAAAATCGAAGGTAAAGTTAGTGCCCCTTGCTCAGTTTCTTTAAAAGATAATGAGAGTTTTCTCTGTAAGCAAACAAATATACACACCAATGAAACCAAACTTCTCGTATAGGTAGGGCAATGCTCACTTTTGGTGTAAGTCAAGATTTCAGGAAACCCCCGAAATCTGGGTTAGCCAGCTTGTCCTTAAAAGCGACCATATGAGCTAGAACTTTTTAACGTGGTCAGACGAATGTGGACAAGCTAACGTTAATGTTGTCATTTGTGCTCGATGCGGTATATTTTGTATAAACGTACATTTCAACCCATGGCGACCTCCCATGCCCCCAACCCTGCAAATTGCAGTGCACCGGCTCATTAGAAAGTGCTTTGCTGTGCGAGGCAGGAGCTGAATTGACAAAATGCAAAAGTTTTTTATTCATATAATTGCTTTTTTAAAAGGTCAATTTAACATACATGCTAAAAGCAATTTATAAAATGTCAATTAGAAATATATGTAGACCAAGTTCATGAACAAGGTTGTTAAAAAATTTCTTTCGATTTTCATGTGGGGAGAATTATTATATTTATTGAGTTTCTCGATCTTTTTGCTGGGATGTTGTGTCCCTATCAGCTGGAGTCAGCCCTGACAAGAGTGGGATCGAAGCGCACCTCCGAAATAATCTAAATTGTGTCGATCAGGGTTAAAATGTCTACATAAAAGCTCATTCCACATAAACTTGACTACAAAATAAGGATGCAGGGTGTTAGCTGGTGCTGTAGTGCGGCTTGCTGCTTCTTTCCTGTCAAACAGCTACCGTCCTTATCTCTCCACCCTCTTTTTTGTGTTTGTTACTCTCTTGCAACACATTTAACCTTCGGCACTAATTGTATTGCAGGTGCCGAAAAACGCTTACTAAAACACACTTATAGAGGATCTCGTCTATCTTACCTTGCTCCTGTGGGGAGGCTATCTTTGAGAGAAGAGCTCTGGGAACAGGGAGGAGTGTCATGTATAAGATCCCGATGAGGCCAGCTGAAATAGGTAAAATAGTATTGAACACCATTTATATAGATTTATGGCGGGTTTTTTTTGTTGCATATTGCAAAATCACACATAGGATAATCTGGCAGTGTATGTTACAATTTTTTTATACACACATAATAATATGCCAAAACAAACACATAGACATACTCACAAACAAACAAACAAACACACACACCCAAGCATATGTGTATGTATTTGATAAATACATGAATGATTTATATATACAATATATATATTATATATATTATAAATATATACATAATTATATATATATATATATATATATATATATATATATATATATATATATATATATATATATATCGATTTTTATACATAAAATACAGGGAGAGAGAGGGGGCGGGGGAGAGAGAAAGAGAGGGAGAGAGAGAAAAAGGAGAAAGAAAGAGAGAGCGATAAAGAATGAAAGAGTATGAGAGAGAAAGAGTGACAGAGTCAGAGCGCGACAGAAAGGCAGAGAAAGAGAGAAAGAGAGAGAGAGAGAGAGAGAGAGAGAGAGAGAGAGAGAGAGAGAGAGAGAGAGAGAGAGAGAGCGAAAGAGAGAGAGACAGAGAGACAGAGACAGAGAGACAGAGAGAGAGAACATCTTCACCAAAGACTCACACAAGTACAGGGAGAGTGTGTCCGTAGAAAATCCCTCAGCCACAAAACCCAGAATGGCGCTCACGCTACAGATAACGCCGATGGTTTCCAGGGACAGACGATGTTTGAGCACTTTCAGCAACACCACTGCCACAGCCGCCATTGCCAGCTGAAAAAAGATTAAATGATATATTATATTTACGCCCTTATCAACACTATTAGGTTATTAAAGAGGTAGGACCTCAGAGTTTAACGTCCATCTCCGAAGGGACCGAGCCAAATAAAAAATTCGAGTAAAGTGCCTTTCTCAAAGACACAACGTCGGACTGACCTGAGACTCGAACTCCCACACCCACAATCTCACGATTACGGGTACGGCCGATAGCCTAACCACTAGTACTAGGCTATCGACGACAACGCCAGTTGAAGAAGAAAGAAGGATGCGGCGGTGGAATCAGCCGCTTTTCAATTTGTTTTTGCCGATATGGGGGTATTGGCATCTCCTAAAACGTGTTCATTTGTCTTGCAGTTGATGCAAAAAGTACCTATCTATCTTGAACAAAAGTCGAGATACTTGCTATTTAAGGAGGTGGGGGTTGCATGACGTCTGAGGTAAAATTAACGAGAAAATGCTGACTTTCAAAGCTTGATGAATGTCCTCGAAAACTGCCAAAACATTTCTCGTGCCTTTGATCAACGTTTTTCAATACAATCTACAAAGAAATTCGTTTTAAATGCACATAAAAGGTATTTAGCTAAAGAAAAACATTTTGGAAAATATTTTCCCAAAGACGAGAAATTTGCAGTGTCATTATGTTAACGAGCGTCTGAATTCACCACGAAGCCTCACATACTATACCCCCCAATGTCTTTGCGCACATCGACGATCATAGCCAGCTGTTTCTCTGATGAGTATATTACAAGGTAACGTTAATTTAGACAAAAATTTTCAATAAGAAAAAAAGTACGTGTTCAACTTAGGGATCCTGTCTATCGCCCAAAACCCCCAACAACAAACAACAACAACAACAACAACTAGGAAACCAATAAAAAAATCCCCAGAGCACCTCCAAATATCCACAGAGAAGACCTCCTTCTGTGACTTGTAGTGTGTTAAACTCACTATTTAAACGTCTCCACAAGAAAATTATGATGACGTCTGACGTGCAATCAGTTCTCAACCACTGAAGTGTGGTCTTTATGCAAGACCAATTAAAAACTCTACAATGTCTTTTCCCGTGGTTTAATGCGCTGCGTACAGTGTATATTTCTTTAGTTTTAGCATCAGTTTTACGGCC